CTTATCTCTTCTTCTCCCAAGTAGAATAGTCTGACTGTATGTTTCTGATGCTGATACTTATCTCTTCTTCTCCCAAGTAGAATAGTCTGACTGTATGTTTCTGATGCTGATATACCAGCATCAATCTAGATCTTCATATTATTTAGACTTTCATGTAGTCTTCAATCAACAAATCATCTAGGTCTTCATATTATTTAGACTTTCATGTAATCTTCAATCAACAAATCATCTAGGTCTTCATATTATTTAGACTTTCATGTAATCTTCAATCAACAAATCATCTAGGTCTTCAAACATCATGCAGCTACTCTATAAAATTTAGATTTTCTTTTAATCAGATCTCAAAAGTGAAGTCATTAAAAGCTGGTTTACCAATAAATGAACCTTGATTTGTACCTGGAGCTGGATGTTCCAATTTTCATTCAGACAGAGAAAATTAATTTATAAAGATCACTCAAAGCTTACAAGACTTTTCTACTGGATCAGTAGAGTATGTACTTGACAATATATAACAGGGGTTGAGAACAACTACACTGATATCTTGATGCTTTTTTTGAAATGCAATAAGAGCATTTTGTTACTTTAACAAGAATACAGACAACTCAGTGTTTTCACATTATTATAATTAATCATATTTTTAAAGAAGTACAACTCTGATAATAAGTTGGCAAACAATGATTTAAAGTATAATAAAGTGATTTAGTTTAGTGGAAACATACTACGTGTTTTAACAGAACATTGGACAGTCTTCTTATAAATCACTGTTTGCCAACTGATTATAATATTATCATAATGTGCTTTATTATTCAAGTTCAGAACTTTGAAAGAGAACAGAAATGAAGCGATTACGGAGTTCACATAAATGTCTGTTTTTCAAAGAGAACGTAACTTATATTCAATAAAACTGTACTAAATCATAATCATTAGATGTGATACCAATTCTCTAAGTTCAAAGATAGAAGTTATGTTTTTCAGGTACTGGTATTGCAAAGGTTAGTTACTGTAAGAAAAAGAGTGAGCTAAAGAAATGCCATTTAGTTTAGTAGCTATATTAGAAGATGTTACCTAGTTAATGTTCTAAATTTCTATATTTAGATATTAATTTTTTTAAAAACCTCTACACAACTATCTGTTATGAATACTGAACTTACTGGCATCCTAAAAAACGTTTGGTACTTCCGGAGAGCCACGTCAACTTGCATCCCAGCTAGATCAATTTCTTCCACAAAACTTCTGTAAATGTAGAATATTCAGAATTATTTTCTCTTGCTAATGATACTTTTCCTACTAACTGTATTAAAACAAACCCATCTAAACTAAGAAAAGGATAAAAAGTGTAAAATGTTGGAATTAGCTTCTTAAAAACCTTTCTTAGATCAAAATTTGAAATGAATTCAGATTAAAGAAGACAAACTGTATGTTTCTGATGCTGATAGATTTGTTGATTGAAGATTTATTATCTAGACTTTCATGTTGAAGACCTAGATGATTCGTTGATTGAAGATTACATGAAAGTCTAGATAATATGAAGACCTAGATGATTTGTTGATTGAAGATTACATGAAAGTCTAGATAATATGAAGACTTAGATGATTTGTTGATTGAAGATTACATGAAAGTCTAGATAATACGAAGATCTAGATGATTTGTTGATTGAAGATTACATGAAAGTCTAGATTATACGAAGACCTAGATGATTTGTTGATTGAAGATTACATGAAAGTCTAGATAATATGAAGATCTAGATGATTTGTTGATTGAAGATTACATGAAAGTCTAGATAATATGAAGACCTAGATGATTTGTTGATTGAAGATTACATGAAAGTCTAGATAATATGAAGACCTAGATGATTTGTTGATTGAAGATT